GTAGAAGTGTTTCTTTTTTAGTTTGATCCATATAAAGATATTCTTCTTTCTTGCTTTGTAGAAAAGTGTGTTTTTTAGTTGGATCCATACATCTGTATCTATTATTTTTGTACCTGTTGATGTATGGTACCTGTTCAGATTTCAGCTTTTCTAAAACAGTTGTGCAAATGCTGTCAACAAGGGAGTTCAAATCCTTAAATTCTTTAAATAAATCAATTGTATCATTGCATACGAGTAAGAAACATTTTGTCGTTTGGTTGGGATGATGCTGAAAAATACATGAAATACAGAATTTGGAAATCCACATCAAAAACCCAGTATTTTTCTCACTGTTTTTCAATATTAAATTCTTAAGTACCTGTCTACTAGCAACTGAACCTGTTACCAAAATGTTGTGTGTCTCTAAGTTATGGGATATTGAAATAAGACCACCACAAATATTCATACTTTTTGGTAAGTTATCTGGTGAAAAACTCTGTCCAGTTCTTAAGGCTTCATTGTTACCATGCTCAGTGATAGCATGCAGTGTATAATTTCTCCAGAATTTACACGGCAGGATTGTTGAAAAACAAATTGAGTAAAAGCATATTACATGGGATATATGACTTGGAATTGCATCACAACTGATAGCTGCATCACTGCTTGTTTGCTGTGGATCAGTATGACCTATAGGTACAGAGTTTGAAGGCATACTAGTGTGGTTTGAGGCTTCAAGAAATTGGGAAACATTAATATGAACACCTTTGAGCTCAAATAAAACATCGGTTCTCTGTAAATTTCTAAAATATTGTACTAAGTATATAATACAATCAACTTCCAATAGTACACATGTACCAGTAGGGTCAACCATACCAGATGAATCTCTTGCATGCGAGTCAAAAACCTTTAGTGAACCATTTGCAGCAGTAAAAATAGACACAGTGTTACAACTAATTGTTAAGAGAAATGAATTGTAACCTTCTTGTAACAATTTTTCAAAAGCATATTGCAAAGGGACAACATATGGATTATCTTGGTTAAAATCTAAACTATGTAGTTGGCCAGTATAACTTTCACTAAAATGGAGTTCATAATTTATCTCCAGAAAAGTCAATTTCTCAGGTAACTCGGTTAGCAGTAAGTATGTTTGTCCAGTAATTCTTGACAGCAACGAATACAGTTCATTACCCATATCCATGATTATAATGAGCTCTGTGTTATATCTTATACCACCTTTAGTATTGTTATATAACAACGCACTTAAGCTCATAGCTACACATTGTTGTCCAGCGTTTGCACCAAACACATCAACAAAATCTTGGCTATAAGGAGCCATCAGAGTTTTACTAGGATCTACAAATGTTGGACCTGGGTTCTTCTCAATATCTGTAGAAATGTTAAACCTGCAATACTTATCTCTATGATTTAAGCTCTTGCTACTAAGTTGCTTGTAAATTGCTTCAAATATGAGTGGTTTTGAAGAGTGGTGGTGGAATATTGAACAACGAAATGTTCTGCCTGTAGTTTCTGTTTGTTTTCCACTTCGTTTCTGACTAGTGTGTCTACGTGTTAGGTATCCGACTCGATCGCTCAGCAGTCTTTTACGTTCATGACTAAATGCATAAAGAAGGCAATGGATATGAGAAGATCTAGGTATTTCTTTCTTGATATATTTGCGAACCAGTTTACGTACTTTTCTAGTTTTAGTCAAGAGACGGGAGATTTTCTTAGCCGGAATTGTACTAGGCGCTCTATCGCGACGAATCTTTTGGTGTTTGTGAACCAGGGCCGGATTAACCATATGGCTGAAGGGGCGTCCGCCCATGGGCCCCGCGCTTTAGGGGCCCCGCGCTTTACTCGGTTATAATTTTTTTTGCGCGTGAGTCGACGCCGTCACGCCGAAAGAGCCCCAACCAAAGCCGCATGGCCACAAAATAAAATAACGTTATTCCAAAAAGTAGGTATTTACTGAAAGTTCGTTTAAGAAATTCATTTTAGAATCTTCCATAAACTGCAGTTTAGACATGACTCATTGCCTATTTGTGTTACCGGAGTGCAGGTGTCATTTGACACGACGTCTCATTTTACAAACAACAAGATTACAGTCGACTAGTCGAGACATTCAAATATATATCAACGTTTTTAGTCAATATTTTTATTTTATAGGCGCCCTCCAACAACCCTACAATGAGGGCATAGCCATCTCCACAGGGTCTGAATACCTGCAACTACATATAAAATAAAAATATTGATTAAAAACGATGTCATAGAGTTATTTTTGCACATCATGGTATACATATTATATTTTGATTTCACGACAATCTGAATTTCGGCCCGCCGGGGGGGGGGGTTGAGGGGCCCCGCGCTGAAAAAATGCTACGGGCCCCGCGATAGGTTAATCCGGCCCTGTTGTGAACAATATGGCGGCCATGATTATACTTCTTAATGACATCGAATTTGTCATAACGTGAACGACATTCGTTTAGCAATTTGTTCAAAGATTCGACTTTATTGTTTCCCGAATTCTCGCTTGGTAATAATAGTATGTCTAGTTCTAGTCCAGAGTTTTTGCGATATTCATGATATTCAATCAACCATGCATAGCATGAAACAAAGAAACAAATGAAATCCAGCATTAGTAAAACAAACGAGATAGACATAGTTACCTCGATGCAATGGTTATGCACAATGCAAAAATTCAATTCAATCAGTTTGATTTCACATACATTTGAACTGGTATCTCGTTTGGTCAACCCTGTAATCTCCTTTGTGTTCGTATCGTGTATCAATGTGAATATCATATGATGCAATTTCAGAACCTTGTAATAAGCATAAACTTTGGCTTTCAGAATATAAATAGGCTTGGCTTTTATAATTATAGTGATAGTACAGATATTGATTTGATCGGATACAAGGCTTTGATGGCATACAAGGCTTTGATGGCATACAAGGCTTTCATGGCATACAAGGCTTTCATGGCATACAAGGCTTTCATGGCATACAAGGCTTTCATGATTCATGTGATCGTTGTCTGTAAACCCGTTTCGAAAGTGCTCGGCATCTTTTAGTGTATGTTTACCACAATCAGTGTGTGCTAGTGTATGTAGAGTGAGCATATCAAACAAGACAAGACGAGAATCCAGCATTATGATTACCTGTACGTATTTTCTTGAACGACAGACGTCTAGATTCCCTACGCTATCGGCCATGCACAGCGACTCGTGTACATGTTATTTTATATGACGTGTATCATGCATGCAGTTTCCTGCTTTTGGTTCGCACGACCCGAGTTCGAATCCTGGCGACAACAAACTTTTTCAATTTTTTGTTTCAGTAAAATATTTCTTTTGTGGGGGTTACTAGGCTTAGATTACTATTTGAAGTGTGTTTAGCACGAAAATATTTCGATACAAAATCAAACGAGTTGAAAATACGAGTATCTTAGTTGGCCTGCGCGGCCAGGTAGACCGGGTCGAAAACGTAAAAAACACAAAAAAAACAAAACACAGACGGCAATTTAAGACTGCGTTCACGCAGTGCGCGACGCAGTAATTAATGGAAGTGTTTGAAAGATATTCGTCTCAACCTGTTCCTGCACATGTTCCTGTTAACGGATTATCCAACATATCCTCACACGTAGAATTAGGGATTATCCTTAAATGTCAAATTTGCTAAGATTAAGGATATGTCTTAAATTAATGACGCAAATGAGCGCGCGTATATATAGCTTCCTGGGCACACGCACATGGCTACGGGTTTAGTCAATATGGCGGATGTTCCAGCTTCAAACTTCGGTAAGTCATTAAATTTTCATGACTTTACACAGCTATTGAATATTCAATTTCTAAAGTTTATTATGAAAAAATGCAACGTGAATAAGTAGTGTCTTTACGAGTCATCAAACACTTGCATTATTCAGTTTGGGAAAGTTTATTTATATTTCAAACAGCCACTTTTTGGAGGGTTTCGATGTAAATATATTACATTTTAGTAGGCGATAAGCCGTTAGCTTTTTCCTCATGGGAATAGGTCTCTATTTATAATAGGGATATTGCTTTATGCTACTGTATAAATCATGCTACTATATAGATCATGCTATTTATACTAGCTGTAATAAACTGTAAGAGCTTTCCAACCAGTAAAAAACTTAAAATATAGGAATTCGCATGCAAGTACTTTAAATCAGTAAAATGTATGGCCAAATTGTAACCTCATTTGGGTTAAATTCCTCTATAAAAATATATGTTCGAATTGTGTAGTTTTTCTATGTTTGGAAATTCATCTCACCCATTTTACACTCTATATTGTTTTCAAAACTGACCCCATCTATATATTAAATTAATCCTTATCTCTATGTACAGACTACAGTGCCTATTGCCAGTTATGCCAATTATTTCCGGATTATTTTTGGCCTGTTTATATGATTTCACCTAGGAGTAATATCCTCTGGGTTGGGCAGCATGTTATATGTGCAAATACATTGCCAGAATGAAACCATTTAAATGCTTGACATTGCCATCTTATGTGTACCTGGGATCATATAAACAAACTCCTAAAATGTTTTTCCTTGTTTAATTAATTAAAGACAATCTGCCAAGGTCAAGTCAACACTCTTCTGCAAGGAGTAAACGAAAGGAATCCTTCGAAAGTGTTCTTAGTCGAACTCGTTCATATATTGCAAAGCATGCAAACAATGACAATAAGGGAAGGAAGAAGCCAGGCTTTTTCATCTTTGAGAAAGATTCTCTAACTGGCAAAAGGAAGACACACTGCAACCTCGTACCCAGGGTCTTTACTCTACTCCTGGGGAGGAAAGACCCTGGTTGGGGCTGGTCACGTGTCATGCTGAAATTTGATAGCCCAAGGGGGAGTAGGCAAGATATCAAATTACATGCTTCCACATGGTGCGTTCTTTTCCTATCTTTCGCTATGTTGGACTACATTGCTTTTTTGTCATGCTTAGAGTTTGCGGTTTTAAATAGTTTGTACGAAGATAAAATTCTAAAACCGAAGCAAGTTCTTTGCTTAGAGAGTCTTTATTTAAAAAAGGATGTGATGTGTGTTTTGCCAACGGGCTATGGCAAGTCTTTAATTTTCCATCTTCTGCCAATGTTGTTGTTTGCGAAATACAATTTGCGGAACGATATGTTTCAAATTTGGAGACGAGTTTGGAGAAGTTCGAAAGATATTTCTACGGCAGGGGTTATTAATTCCATTACAATTGTGGTGTCACCGTTAAATTCGTTGATGAGTGACCAAATATCTCGTTTAACCCAGTCGAGCGGCATCCAAGCAGCAATTATCGACATAAAGGAATTAAGAAAAGAACACAAGGATAGCAGTTCTGACGAGAGTATGGACGATGACGATGATTTTAACGTTGACATTGATTTCAACTTCTGCGAAAAGCGAAAGCTACTCGATGGTGGTTATCAAATTGTTTTTGCCCATCCTGAAACTCTCATCTCCAGTAAATATGGACGGGAATTGTTGCTTAGCCAGACATACCAGGAAAATGTTGTTGGAATTGTAATAGATGAAGCCCATTGTATTGTCGATTGGTGAGTATCAGCATTTTAGTAGGGTAACATATAATATGGCAGGTGAAAATGCAGAGAGTATATAACTGGCACATCACTATTAGCTGAAATTTTATGTCACTACCTACCCCTTTCCCCATCTGGTTGCATTAAGATTAAACTGTGTTTTTATTTTATTGCAGGGGACCTGACTTTAGAACAGATTATGCTAAATTGGGGGTCGTATGTGCAATGTTTCCAGATGTGCCTGTTCTGACAATGACAGCAACTGCCAATAGAACTGATATTGAGTGTATAAAGGACTCACTTGGCTTAAAAAATTGCAAGCACATTGTTGCAAATCCTGACAGAAAGAATATTTTCTACCAAAAGATTTTTCGAACTGGACAAGATGTTGATGCCATTCAATCAATTTTGGCACCAATTGCCAGGGCCCTCCTACATCAAAAGATTGACCATCCACTAACCATAATTTACATTCCTTTGAGAATATGTGGGTTTGCGTACAAACTATTTGAGCATATTCTTGGTAATGAACAATATTTTCCTCTTGGTGCTGCTTCAATCCCATCCAACAGGTTGTTCGCACAATTCCATGCTCCACAGACCAGTCAGATGAAGGAAGAGATCCTGAAACAACTTTGTTCTAAGGAATGCATTGTTCGTGTTGTTTTTGCTACCATAGCCATAGGAATGGGTGTTGACATTCGAGATATCCGCCAAATTATACATATTGGACCCCCAAGTTCGGTGAAGGAATACTTCCAAGAGACCGGTCGTGCTGGCAGAGATGGCAAGCCCTCAACTGCTTTGTTATATTATAATAACAGAGATATAGCCAACAACAGAGTTGGAATGCAGGATGATATGCGGGCCTATTGCATGAGTAACAATGCATGTCTCAGAAATTTATTGCTAAAATCATTAGATTACAAGCAGGATGTTGTTTTTAAGCCATTACACCTTTGTTGTGGTGTCTGTGAGAAAGACTGTGATTGCCCCATGTGCTTACAGCTCCTTACTGGTATAGAGAAACTTTAGGTACTGTACTAATTGAACACTAAAACAATTGTTAATTTTTTGTTTGATGTATTGGTAAGGATTTATTAACATATTAACATTCATAATTATAAATATTATGACAATATTGTATGCTGACTGTGCTGTAAAGTGATAAGCACTAATAATTTAATTACAGTCAATTTGTGTGTTCAATCCCATTGGAGCATAAAGTCAGAGTGTCAAGACTCGATATCCATTTTCCATAAAACAGTTTTTGCTATGATTTTTATAAGATTATTTGCTGGGTTATATGCAAAGCACTGCCTGGAAAGAGTTGAAAAGATTTTGCACAGTCTGCTTGTTAAAATATCAAATATAGATGACCATTACAGACTTACAGTAAGACAAATTGGAAGACTAGGTTCTTCAAAAAAATTCTGATAAGAAAATTATTAGCCTGAGTAGACAGATGTCCTTTCACTCCAGCCTCCTCAACAATATCAGTTTGATTGAATATAGCTAAAAGAACCCTCACCGCTGCCAAGAGTAAAATATATTATTTAATGTGGCAACATGAAATGGCTATGTTACAGTATGTACATTCTATTAGTCCGCTATTATAGTAGATACATACAGTAAAGTATAAACTATACTGTCAGCAATTAAAAAACTACTTGTTATATGCACCAAAATGACATCTTTTCGAACATTACAATTCAATAAATAGCATTTCTCACAAGAGAAATTTCTTATAAAATCTTCACATTCATCTCTTTCAACTTCAATATGAAAATATGAGAAACAAGGATAAAGAGGTTTTGAACCAAATTATCCAATTCTGTAAAAATTAAAAAAGATTTTGAAATGTTTTTTAGACATTTCTGGGGCAGTACTAGCCTTTGTTCCACTCCACTAGCGAACACATAATAGACTGGAATAAAGGCTAAGGTTGCAGTAGTCAATCAAAAAATCTAAATAGCGGTACTTTAATAATACAAGCAATAAAATTGCTTTAAGTTGCAACCAAATGTGATTTCACTAGCTAACAGTTATAAATGCATATGTACAAAAATCAGCTTTTGTCAGTACAAGTGTAAAGTTATTCACAAGATTCTTCCTCGTCATCAGCAACAGTATAATACATCAGGATGTTCTTCTTGTGTCGTTCAATCCACTCAGCAAACTTTCCTTGGTCGAACGTTGAGGTTGGGTCATGGGAAATCTCTGGAAAAGACTCAAAGGTTCTACCTTCTTCTTTATCGAAAGGCCTTAAACTTCGCAGGTCCGTGCTTATCATCTTTTCATCATTAATTGATGACTTGTGTGAATGAGTTGAAGATTTGGGATTGATGTTGACTTGTTGCTCATATGCTTCGACAATCTTCGTAACTCCCCAGAAGCCTTGCTCGCCCTAGTGATTGCCTTTTCCGTCTTGTTGGCACCCATTGATCGAATTAGCTTCTTCATTTCACAGTTCTGGTTCTCTTGAAACAAGTCTATTTCTATGTTTTTACCGGAACCACCTTTCCAGTTAACAGTGGCAGCCCATTTGCAGCGATGGGATTCTGCTTTGGACAACAACACTTCACACTGGAGAATGTTGATAAACATTTCAATCGCGAATTCATTGAACCCAGGAGTTGAAAAGAAATGGGCCAACAGCTGCTTTCTCAGGATAAATAAGTGCTCACCATTACCAGTGGAAACAGCATCCTTAAAATCAGCCAGCACCATGAAACACTTTATGAGGTTAACCCCGTAGCACCAAACACCATCTGAAACTTCATCTCCACCAACGAAAACATACTCATCCAGGAATTTGTTGATGGTGTCCAATATGTATGTTTTGCGGTAGTCCTCTTTCAAGACATAAACACTATGAGGACCATTTGCCGTTGGTTTGTGTTTTGTATCGTCCATTTGAAAAAATTCCAGCAGGGCTTCGATAACAAAACACTTACCAACACTGAAGAACAGTTGCTCACAGTCCTCATAGTGTTTGACATCAGCTGTGACGTTTCTCCGATTAAGCTTTTCCCTGAAAAACCGAATGGTTCCTTTCTCTCGTCCCGAGTTTTTGTAAAGTTTTTTGAATACAGTCTAAACAAATTAAAACATCATTATAATATGTATTATTGTAAATTCTAACTGCTCAAAAATGTACATCAAAAATATAACTTTTTACTAAAGCTGAACGGGTATTGAAATGATAGATTTGTTACAAATGTTCTTACTATGTCTGGGCATATACATCATATACCCACATGTTCAGAACCCTATCATGACAAGAAAGTTATGTGTAACCAGGTTTAATGAAATGTTACTATACCAAGGGACAGTGCAATTATAATAAGGTGCAGTTCAATTCTAATAAGGGGGGGGAGGGGTGTAGTGCTCTTTGCCATGGCCCAATTATATTCCTACATACCCTGGTTCATTTCTATTAGCTGAACATTTTTAATTTTTATGATCCCCTACATCATGAATATATTTTCAAATGGTCCCCATTGCCTTTTGGCCTTTTTTCTATATGGCCCTACTTATACCACCCTACTGCATAATAAAACTCCAGTCCCTTGAAACCTGCTTTTATTTAGCGCAGAACTTTTTGCATTACTTGATTTAATTTAATAAAAAATCAAATGCACTTATAAAATACCTTCAAGAAACTTCTCTTGCTATGCCAATCAACAATGCAGAAAGGGTACAGGTGGTCTAATCTTTGCTTCGCTGAATGACACCCAGCTCTAAGATCTCTTCCTCCAGCAAAACGAACTCGAGTAAGTTGATCACCATAGCAAGGAATCCTAACACCACTTAATGGATCACTCTCTGAAACAGCAGGTGGAACATGTGAGCCAGGTTGGTCTGGTCTTGATGTAGTTCGTACAGTGGGGTTGGTGTCATCACTAGGTTCAGGATCTGATGAACACATTCCAGCAGCTCTATAAATGTCATGTGTCCAATTTTCAAGCTGATCCAGAACAGACACAACATCAGCATATTTCTTTTCATCCTTCATTATTACAGGCATTGTCAGAACTTCAGACTTCTTTGCCATTTCATTTGCATAAGCACAATCAGTGCTTCCAGGGACATATGGGCTGAACATTGCAAAACATGGGAAATGTTCAAACAACAGCTTGGCAACAAGTATTATATACCGGCTTCGAATTGCCTCCAATTCCAGAGAATTGATATCCATCAACTGACGGACATTGCAATCCTTCAGATTTCTCTGTGGACCAGAATCGGGCAACCCTTTATCAGAAACTCGGTTAAATACAATACTTGTTGCCACAGCATGAACACTTCTGTTTTGCACGTCCTGTCTCATGTCATGTGCCTTCTCCTCCCAGTCGATGTTGTCCAGCACATACACAAACTTGTGGCCGGAATTCACCAACTCTACAGCACGGTCAATAAATTTCTGGCCAATGTCATCAAGAATCGGGTATTTCATGGTTGGTTCAAGGCACATACCATATTTATTCAGGCGAGCAATCAACTGAAAAAAATGTAATCAGGAAAATAAGTTTCCCATTTTTACCTAAATGCAATCCTCAAATGAAGCCTCAAAAATCTATTTGAGACTTGTAACAGAAGCAACTCATTAACAACTGGTAACACCCACTCAACCAAGCTTATAGTATACAAATTATAGTTTTTGAATAGAAACAATATTGCTTTACATAAATTATATTGTTGGCAAACTTATTTCTAAACAGTCAAATTTTACAGGAATTGTGTTACTTTTTGTTATTGCTAATCATTTTTAAGAAAGTATCCAATTTTTTGTTTTTATATTATGTCAATTAAGACTGAAACAAATATACACTAAAAAAATTCTTACAGTATAACTTTTTTTTCAAATTTTATAAGAGAAATACATGTAGAAAGGCTGGCATTATGTGGAAGTTACGTATACACCTGTAAAGATCCAATTTTTCAACACCTGATCAGGCTTCATAAGAATGTCAAAATTTGCACAATAATTATTGTGTAGTGATTCCAATCATCAAATTAAACCAGTTGAGCAGTTCATTATGTTGGATTACTATTGAATGTTTTAAATACCAGTATTTGAGGGATAGGTCTAACATTTAATTGTACTGTTAATAGCCTTTATATGTACTTGTTTCTGTTGTTCAGAATGACTTACATGTACAGATGCATGGCCTTCTGTCAGCAGAACAGAATTGATTCGCTGAATTCTGCTTAATTCATGGCATCGCATGAACATCATGATTCCATAAATTAAGCAGATGGCAGGACATTTCTTCGCTGGGTAGATATTGCTCTCCAGGATAGCTGCAAGAATGCTGTTGGTGACCGGACATCTGGTAGCCAACTCTTCCAATACTTCTGACATCCAGCTGTCAGCTGACATACCATCATAGCCTCTTCGTCGCAAAACAGAAGGCTCACTTTTTCTGGCAACCTCAATTAACTCCTTGTTCGCCTTATCCAACACTTGAGCAATCTTTAGAATAATAGTATTATCAAGGCATATTTATAAATATATGTAGAAATAAACTTGACATTAAACACAAGTCTTGCCCACTTTCATGTGATTAACATATACCATATATATATATACAGTAAACTTACTTTTTTCTAATCCTTATAATTGTAATTTTACTTTTAGTCTGAATCTGCCTTGAGTTAAGACGAAACGTCACTCTTATAACACTTTTTATATGTTAGGCTCATGAATCATAAGACCTCATGAATGAACCATTGTTATGCAATCATGAATGCATTATTCATTTCTTGGCATGGGAATCATAGCGCTAAATATTCCATAAGAGGAAATATTAAGGAATAACTAACCGATCATATAAAAACCAAAACCAAAAGATACTTACATGCAAAGATAATGTAGAACTTGCACTTTCAGATGGACAGCTGGCGCTAGCATTATCGAAGTCGATACTTCGACGACGAGAGTTCCCAGTTGCTCGAACTTTAGCGGACGGTTTGGCAAGAGACGGGGACAGTTCGACGCAACGTTTTGCACGAACCTCCTCTTGTAATAAATTCTGAGTTTCA